ATCTAAATGGACTTAGGTACCCAAGGGTGAGTCTATCCCACCCTGTTCAGGTCCATGAAAAGCCAATAATGTCTCTACTTTTGTAACGCACCCTCATCTTCCCCTTTACACACAGTCACCAAAAAAAGCAGCAAGGAGAAGGAGGATGTATCCACCTTTTGCCTTAATTATTTTTCAGGGACTGCTGAGTATGGTGGAATAGACTCACATTTAAGCATCATTTAATCGCCTAGGGCATGTGATGAAACCGGGGCCCTAAATTAAAGCGGTGGGTTTAAAAAAAATATTGCTTCAATTTAGGGCTGATTAAATCCCTGTGTCGTGCACACACCCTGCTGACTTACTTGCCTCTACGGCAGGGTAGGGAGGGCGAGCTGCTGGTGGGCAGAGCGGTTTCTGGGCTGCAGCGGGGAGGGGGACTGGTGCTTCCCCCTGCAGCAGCTGCGCCCCCCTCCCCAGGCAGCACTCACTTGCAGGCAGCTGGCTTGGGCAGTCCCGGGGGGCACTGCAGCTGTGGAGAGAAGCACCGGGCCCCCGTGCAGGTCAAGCAGGTTGGGGGGGCGGAAATCAGGCTCTCCACTTTTCTTGGGTGGAGCTGCTTTCCCGGGCTGCTGCCAGTCTGCCTGTAGGGCTTCCTGCAGAGCCCCTGAGCTGAACGGACCCCAGTGCTTCGCTCTGCAGCTGCAGGGGCAGCAAACTAAAACTCCTTGGAGAAGGTTTAGTTTGCTGCGCCCCAAGTCATTTAGGGCACATTGCGCCACTGAATTTCCTAGAGCAGCTGGAATTACTGTACAATACGCCGCCGAGGCGTGCAAACACTGACACCATTAAAGTGGTGCAAAAGCATTTAGCCTGCTTTAAAGTGTCGTGCACACATACACCTCGTTTCGTCTACATGCAGCCCTAATAGGTAGAACAAACTCCGACCTAAGGTGACTACTGTAGGATTTAGATATAATACTAGCATTAACTCTCTTTCTCTCCCAAAACAAAACTTCCACTTACAACTGGATCTTAAAACAACACTTTTGGTAGAAATATGACTCCCTAGAGCCTTGTTACAAGGTAATTTTCGGCAGGTCCTGGAGCACTTAACCCTTGGGTAGTCCACACATTAACACCTTGAAGTGGTTTTAAGCACTTGTTATTGTGCCATTCCAGGGCAGAATTATCTCTGATCCATACCACCCAGTTCCTGGTCCTTTAAGATGTGGCCACTCCCTGCAAATGTGCTGCCAAGTTGAAGTTCTCCAGTATGCCAGGATCTCTCACACCCCTACCCACCGAGCAGGGATCGAAACCTGCCCTGTCTCACCAGCCCTCTAGGGGCAACTCACAGCTACAGCTCCTAGTCCTGCCCCTGCTCAGCAGGCCTCCAGTAGCAAGTCACAGCTGTGCAGGTGAGGGACAGACACAGCAGGTTTCTAGACTGCTCCCAACTCCAAGCTAACACTAACACCAATCAACATTTGTGCAACAAGGCTCAACAAGGCCTCCAGTAGCAAGTCACAGCTGTGCAGGTGAGGGACAGACACAGCAGGTTTCTAGACTGCTCCCAACTCCAAGCTAACACTAACACCAATCAACATTTGTGCAACAAGGCTCAACAAGGCCTCCAGTAGCAAGTCACAGCTGTGCAGGTGAGGGACAGACACAGCAGGTTTCTAGACTGCTCCCAACTCCAAGCTAACACTAACACCGATCAACATTTGTGCAACAAGGTGCAACAAGGCTCCTAACTAGCAAGATCTATCACTAGCACTCTCTGCCCGACTTTGTAAATTCGCCACTCAAGCATTGTGTTAACATCTCACAATGGCATAGACACAATCGCAGCATATGGGACTACACCTACAGGCAATCCTTCCTCTGGGTTCTCAGCACACACTGCAGATCTGTGCAGGATCAGGATTGCATATGAACTCCCAGATATCCTTTTCTAGAGACTGTAGAGGAACCAATCCTCGACCCCTGTAAACTAACAGTTTCAGTAATGGAGCAAGGTCAATCTATGCCAGTGAAGAATGAGGTTCTGTACAGCATATGCAGTTTAGCAGAAGGTATGTCTGAGCCCCTTGTTGTTTAAAGCTACTCCAAAAAGTATAATATAAAGGACACAGGCATGGCTTGATTTAAGGAATCAACCACCTAGCCATACCTAGCCAAGCTGTGTGAAAAAATAATTTTTTTTTTTGAGACTGCGGTCAAATCAAGCTTAAAGAAAAACAAGCCAAGGCTTCATTTTAGTTTAACCTGAACAATCAGCCAAATTCCTGAGATTACAAAACAAGTCAAAACACTTCATTTCTACTTTTTTATTTTATTGGTTTTTTGCCCCAAACTCTTCACCAAATTCAAATTTGGGAAATCGAGTCAGCTACCTTGAAACTGTATTTTTCAGTGAATAACCTGTCTTTTGTGCAGCTCGAAGCCTGACGTTGCTAATATCTTACTGTGTGACCTTCACTAAATCACTTGAATGTTTTATCTCCTTTTCCCCCCATCCCTGTGAAAAGGATTATAACACTGCATCTCCCAAGAGAATCTGGGAATTAATTAGTTTACATTTGAAAGTATTGCATAAGTACTGTCAGAGCGAATATATTATTGTGTTAGGAACAGTCAACTTAACACCTGTGTTTCCCAGTTCAATGGCAGTTCAGGCAGACCTTAAGGCACTGATACAGCAACTTCTGTTTCCTCTGCTGGGAGCACGTCTACACAAAAGGTTTACTACACATTGGCCTAATAACACTGCTCAATAGCGTGTCTTGGCAAAAACTGTGCTAATAGCCTACTGCACAGTGTTATTAGGCTAATGCCCAGTAAGCATCACTAAATAACCGTGCGCCGGTGCTACTGTGCAGTAAGTCTAGGTACAGTACATTTAGTTAGTACATTATTAAGGAAGTACTAAAGTAAATGTACAGTATTTAAGGTGCATTCATGAACATGTAGATGCACCCTGGATCACCTAAATGAAACCCCAGTAAGTGTTTGAAGAATAGCAGCACTTAGATTTATTTGCAGAGTTCAAGGCTGAGGGAGAGGATCAAATGACAGACTTCATTTGAACCTTGAGAAGGCTGCTGGAGTGCCAACAGAATGCACCTATCTCAATGGAGCAGGACAAGACCCATGGGCAGAGAATACCGTAAATCTCCATTACAGTGATTCTCGCACCTTCTTGTGAATCATCTGGTACTAGCTAGCACTGGAAGCAGGAAACTGGCCATTAGTCTGTGGGAAATCCTATTGGACATCGAATCACAGAGTCATAGCAAATGAGGACTGAAAGGGACCTCAGGAGGTCACACCTAGTCCAACCTGTGCTCAAAGCAAGATCACCCTCAACTAGATCATCTCAGCCAAGGTTTTGTCTACCTGGGTCTTAAAAACCTCCAAGGATGGAGTGTCCACCACCTCTCTAGGTAGCCTGTTCCAGTGCTTTACTACCCTCCCAGATGCTGAAAAGAAATGCATTTAGAGTCCTGGCTAGGAGATGAATAAATTATATTACCTTTATGCATGCAGCTTTCTCCCCAAAAAGTTCCCATAGCTTGTTCCCACTTGACATCCTTCCCTACCCAGTTGCTCAAGGAGAGGAAGGGGGCATTGAGTAAGCAGCCCCTACTACTCCCTGCAACCCCTAGGGAGAGTCCAAGAATTAATGGGGTCTTTAGAGATCACTTCCTTCCTGTGTGAGGAAGGACTCTGTAGACACAATGGCCCCATAGCAGTGGTGGTAGCTCCAGTCCTAACTCTGTCCAGAGTTGAGTTCCTTAGGCATGTAAGAGAGAAAAAAAAAATCAGTGAACAGGCTGATAAATGCACTCTCTTCTCAAGGATAATGGCTGAGGAATAACTGCATAACGCTCTCCAGGTTGTGTTATGCAAGAAGGAGTAGGTGATCTAATGGTTCCTTCCCTCCCAAAGATTTCCACATCGAAGCAACTGCCAACTGATCATTTGGTATTACCGCAAATAATTGCACCTAGAGGTCTGCAGGGGAGCAGAGATTTCTCTCACTTGCCCACATTTATGGCACCAGAGAAGACTGGGGTGGATCTCAAAAATAATAGGGCAAGCCTGCGGGTAAAATGAAAGGCTTCCCCTATGTCTTGTTCCCCTGGTTTCATCAAGCATTCAGTTTGCTAGCAAGTAGCTGCACAACAGAGCAGGCTCCTGCTGTTGCTGTTGTACAAGCTGAACTGCACGATTCCAACGGGACCACTTTGCACTGTGCCACTACCCAATTCTGCCCATAAAAGCCAGCTAAATTGGCCCCAGGAAACTTAACCTACAGCAAAAGATGATCTGGTGGCAAAGAGCTTATGGAGAGACTCCCAAACCATGCCTTGATGCTTTTGGGGTGGAAACATGGTCAAACAAAGGGGACATTAGGGGTTTCACTATACACTTCCTTTAAACCACTGTAAAAGGTGGTGGGTAGGGATTCAGTACTTGGGAGGGCATATCAGCTCTTCTAATTTAAAGCTGCCTGCTTCCCTAGCAATATAAATGAGATAAATATCCCTACATTCAAATTTGTTTGAAACAGTGCTGATATTGCAAGGGTTTCACTCTACTTATACTGCTTTAGGAGCAGACAGACGTAACAGTTACATCAGACTATCTTACGCCAACATAAATTGAAACTGATACAATTTATATCCGTCCACAGGTTTAATAGACTAGTCGGGCTCCAATAGTGGTTGGTGCTAGCTGCTCCTAACGAACACAGAGCCCTCTTTAGGGATTGAGCTAATACCTTTCAAGTGTCTTCAGTAGGGTTTGGATCAGGTCCCTAAAAGCACCTATCTAATGGAAGAAAGCGTATTCCCTTTTAATGTCTATTCTCCTTAATTTCACCTCAGTTGCTAATCTTATTATAACAATTTGTTTGCAATGTATTGTGGATCCCTCCCACACACAATAAAAGGAAAGCTCTGGAAAGCATTCATTCACGATGCATATATCCACCCCAGACTGGAATTCACCTGGGGAGGAATCATTCATGGGATTCAGCACAGTCGCTCTTCTGATTTTCTCCAGACATGCCTCCTGCTCTTTTCTGAAGACGCAGTCTGAGTGCATTGCCACGACCTGAAAAACAGAAAGGAAGAACAATTAATGTACGGTAAGTAGATAGGGAGCCACACTCATGAATGACACAGAAAAACCTTGCAGACCTCTTCTTGGGGAGAAAAACATTGTGGGAAGTTAAAATGTATGTGCGCCATGGATTCATTGCTCAATGCAGAAGACAGAAGGACAAGCAATGGGGTCACAATGGAGATTAAACTTTGCACACAAGCTGTGTATTTAATTTTTCCTGCTATCCACGTCTAACATTTCTTTGTTCAACCTTGGTCATATCTACAACAATAAACTGAGCATGCCTGAGAGCAGCAATTTCAAGCATGCTGTGCTGCTCCACTCAGGCTCTTTCTCTAACTACAAACCATGCAGTTCACAATTAATGAGTCTCCTTCCCTATTCCTCTGATTCCACAAGGGCCTCAGCTCGAGACTTTGTATGCACAGGGAAAGCATATTTAAGATCCAATTTACTTTTTTGCCATGTATGCAATTTGTTTCCATTTTGTACTTCATATAGACTGCAAGTGTGAGCCTTGGTACCTTTTACTTGCCAGTACTCAAGTGCTGGGATAAATTAGTTGGCTTTGGCTAGAAGGAAGGTTCGAACCCGGGGTGTCAGCAATATGTCCCTGTAACACTTGAAACAAAGGACTACAGTTATCTATCTGGAAGAATGCCCAAGATCACAAACCTATGTAGACCAACCAGTAGACAGAAAAAGAGAGAAGCAATTATGAGGATGTGTGCTTCCATCCCCTTCCCTCCCTGCCCCCTACACACACACATATGCTCATACACACATGCACACATGTGCGTGCACACACACACAAACTTCTCTCTATCATGAATTTCATATGGGAATAATTTCTCATCTGTTCTGCTACTTACCTCCCTACACCTTTATGGGAAAGCCTCATGATCAATGGGTGGGGACGGATAAAGATACGGGACAATACAGCTCCATCTCCATTACGGCACTTTTCTGTTAACCAGAACAATTTGTTTTTACACACCTTTCTTCCCAAAAGGAAACATCAACACCATTTTCCCAGCAGCACAAACCAGACCTAACTACATTAAGGGCTTTGTTTCTCTAAACTAGACTGGCCAAGAAAAGATACGTTGTAACAACCCCATGGGACCTCCCAAAGACTTAACGGCTGTTGCTATGCTACACCATAGAACTGATTAGGACCTGGAAAAAATAGGGTTGGCCAGTGCTCCCGTTCTGAATGTCGGTAAATAAATGAACACAAGTTTTGCACAATAAAGGGGTTTGTTGCTAGGTTACTGGCTCACATTCAGCTCGATGGGACCCAAACATTATTCCCGTCCAGTGACTGCTTGGTGGCATGTGTGAACTGAATGTCATGGGCCAAGTCCAGTTTGTAGTGGGAAAGGATCCAGATCACAAAACCCAGCATTGTCATTCTGTCCTGGTCAAACCTGCCTAAACAAGCACAGAAAGGGATTTGTATCTCGCTGGGGCAGAGCTATACTGGAGAAAGGCTTCCCCACTTATGCTGAACCCATTTTTTGGAAAAATAAAAGGACTTCAGTTTCCTTCAGCGCTGGCATACCATTATTATTAATCGTGTTTAATACTGTGTTTATTAAACACTATTATTGGTTTAGTAATAAAGTTTGATAGCACGTTTCATCATACCACTACCTAGTTCAGTGGTAGGTCATAAACCACTTTGAGAAAGGGATAAATGGCATTTTCGCTGCAGGGCACAAGGAGGCACAAAATGGCTTAGCAAGACAGTGGTAGAGCCAAAACTAGAACCCAGCTCTCTGGAGCCAGAGGTCAATGCCACGTCTACCCTTTGCTTCTAAAAACATGCGGACTTCCTGGAAGTAAAACGCAATTTGGCTGGGCATTTCTGTGCTTAATTGGGTATTATAGTGAAGTGATCAGTAGCACCTTAACCTTTTTTTCCATGCTGAGATTTTCCAGGAAGGCTCAAGAAACGACAGATTAAATCCAATAAGTTCAGTGTTTCTCATTTACTGTACAGCACTCATGCTCAGGGATATTAAGTCTCCAGCCCTTGGACAGCAATTGAAGAGCAATGAAAAATCTAAATAGTAGCTTAAACAGACATTTCCATGGGTCACAGCCTTCCAATTAGCTTTCTGATGCCTGAAGGATAATTTCAGATTCCAAAGTTCATCTGAGGTAGATACCCAGAAATACCAACAATATGTGCAATAATAAAGTGCATGGATACATATCACAAAAAATCAAAAAGCCAGGGAGAAGAAACATAACATTAAAATGAATTTTAAGCCCAAGACCCATAATTCCTTTGGGAACAAAAAGGGCTTGATTCACAGAACTTGTGGAAATGCAGGCATTTATTTGTAGCTTGCACAATCAACTCAAATATTATCACAGAATCAAAATATCAGAGAAAATGAGGGTGTGAAGTGACCTCAGGAGGTCATGTAGCTCAACCTCCTGCTTAAAGCAGGACCAGTCCCAACTACATCATCCCAGCCAAGGATTGGTCTACTCGGGTCTTAAAAACCTACAAGGATGGAGAGTCCACCACCTCTCTGGGTAACCTGTTCCAGTGCTTTACCACCCTCCTGGTGAGAAAGTCTTTCCTAATAACTGACCTAAGCTTCCCTTGCTGCAACTTGAGCCCATTGCTCCTTGTTCTGTCATCTGCCCCCACTGAGAACAGCCCAGCTCCATCCTCTTTGGAGTACCCTTTTAGGTAGTCGAAGGCTGCTATTAAATCCCCTCTCAGTCTTCTCTTCTCCAAACTAAATAAGCCCAGTTCCCTCAGTCTCTCTTCATAAGTCATGTGCCCCATCCCACAAACCATTTCCACTGCCCTCTGCTGAACTCTCTCCAACTTGTTCACTTCCTTTCTATAGTGGGGGGTCCAAAACTGGACACAGTACTCCAGATATGTCCTCACCCGTGCCAAGTAAAAGAGAAGAATCACTTCCCTCAATCTGCTGGCAATGTTCCCTGCTAATGCAGCCTGTTATGCTGTTAGCCTTTGTCACAACAGGGGCACACTGTTGGCTCATATTCAACTTATTGTTCACTGTTACCCCCAGGTCCTTTTCTGCAGAGCTGCTGCCCAGCCAATCAGCCCCCAGCCTGCACCAGTGCATGGGTTTGTTCTGTCCTCAGTGCAGGACTTTGCACTTGTCCTTACTGAACCTCATGAGATTTCTTTTGGTCCAATCCTCCAATTTGTCTAGGTCTCTCTGAATCCTAGCCCTATCCTTCAGAGTATTTACTATTCCCCACAGCTTGGTGTCATCTGAAAACCTACTGAAGGTGTACTCCATCCCATCTTCCAGGTCATTGATTAAGATATTGAACAAAACTGGCAACAGGAATGATCCCTGTGGCACTCCACTGATACCGGCTCCCAACTAGACATTGATCCATTAATTACTACCCACTGATCCTGCCAATCCAGCCAGCTTTCTATCCACCTTCCAGTCCATTCATACAACTCGTACTTCCTCAGCTTCCCTGCAAGACTGTTGCGGGAGATGGTATCAAAAGCCTTGCTACAGTCAAGATATATCACATCCATGGCTTTCCCTGCATCCACAGAGCCAGTCATCTCATCGCAGAAGGCAATCAGGTTGGTCAGCCATGACTTGCCCCTGGTGAATCCATGCTGACTGTTCCTAATCACCTCCTTCTCCTCCAAGTGCTTAGAAGCAGATTCCTTGAGGACTTGCCCCATGATTTTTCCAGGGACTGAGGTCGTCTGTAGTTCCCTGGATCCTCCTTCTTCCCTTTCTTAAATATGGGCCCTGTTTGCTCTTTTGCAATCATCCAGTACCTCTGCTGAGAGCTACAAGTTTTCAAAGATAATGGCCACCGCTCTGCAATCACATCAGCCAACTCCCTCAGCACCCTTTAAGCACTTACGGAGTCAGGTGGTATGTTCATCTAAACAAAGTCCTGATGTAATAGGGATCTGTGCAATTTTTCACTCAAAGAAGTGATTAAAATAATTGTACAATAACATTTGCCTCCCGTTCTTCTTTGATCTTGGCATTTTCTATCTGCATGGGCTCGATCCAAAGCTCAGTGATGAAAAGGTAAGTCTTTCTCCTACATTGGTGGGATTTAGATCAGGCACTAAGATGATAAAAGTGTCTGCAGGGCTTTGATTAAATGAATTTATCCTTGCAGCAACTGTCTTTGGCAAAATTACACCAGGGCTTAATTTAGTTCATTGTGTGCATTTGATAGTTTACTTCATACTGAATTCCTCGCATTACAATTTCTATTACGATTGTCATTTAAAAAAAAAAAAAGCTAACTTGCCAAAATATGGATAAAAATGAAGGGATTACAGAAATGAGGCTTCCTTTTGGAAGGAAACAATGTTATTAGCTTTAATCTCCATTTTCAATGCAAAGCAATTCTACTGGTCACAGATGGGGACAAACCTTGCAAAAATCATTGTGTTAAAAGCCGAGATGTTCAGGAAGGATTGCTGATTCTCTGGTTTTTCTTGATCCTGATTTCACACCATTAGTGATTCCAGAAACACTGTCCTGGCAGTCAAAGAAAGTTTCCTCCATAAAGGCGCTCACATTGTCACCTGATTCTGCTTTTGTCTGGGGGCCTGAATGGAAACCTAACTACTGCAATTTCTAAACACTTCAGCCAAAGTTAAAGGGTGAAGCCATTAGAAACCTATTCAAACCAAGTCACAATAGCACCATATCCAGAATGCTTCTGACACTTACATTTGAAGCAAATTGCATGTAAAATGACAGAACCCGCTGGCTCAATGGAGCATCAATACCTTTCAAACTGTTTTACATGAAAACTGGGTAGGCTCTTAAACTGTGTGTCCAACTGCAGATTAGAAAATTCCTGCAGCTCAATCTAAAATTCACTTCACTTAATGGCTGTCATCCATAGGGGTAATTCTGCATAGGGGGTATATTAGATTGCCTGCAGTGTATGCTATTTCCTGATTAGCCACACGTAAGCTTTCATTCTAG